GGTATTTGTGAAACCAAGTGTTAAATGTTACGAGCCACCTTAAAGGGACTCTCCAGTGCCAGGAAAACAATCCGTTTTCCTGGCAGTGCAGGTCCCCTCTCCCTCCCACCTTCCATCCCCGGTTGCTGAAGGGGTGAAAACCCCTTCAGTGACTTACCAGAGGCAGCGACATTCTTCCTCCGCTCATGCTCCTCCCCTTCATCACGTCAGCTGTCGGGGGAGACCTAATACGCATGCGCGGCAATGCCGCGCAGGCGCATTAGACCTCTGCATAGGAAAGCATTGAAAATGCTTTTCAATGCTTTCCTATGGGAATTTTAGCAACGCTGGAGGTCCTCACACAGCGTGAGGACGTCCAGCGACACTATAGCACAGAAATCCTGTGCTATAGACCAGGAAGTGCCCTCTGGTGGCTGTCTAGTATACAGCCACTAGTGGAAGAGTTAACCCTGCAAGGTAATTATTGCAGTTTATAAAAACTGCAATGACTACACTTGCAGGGTTAAGGGTAGTGGGAGTTGGCACCCAGACCACTCCAATGGGCAGAAGTGGTCTGGGTGCCTGGAGTGTCCCTTTAAAGGAACACTATAGTGTCAGGAATACAAATGTGTATTCCCCCCTTAAAAATGTGATTTACTCACCTGTTTCCCAGCACCGACCAAACTCCTTGGCAGAGTTTATCAATTTAGATGATCTCAGCCAACCCAATGCTCTACCATAGGAAAGCACTAGAAGGCTATTGTGCACGCGCAGCAAAACGCTGTGCCAATCACCATCATAGAGATGCATTGAATCAGTGCTTCTCTATGACAAGCGTTCAGCGTCGACATGCAGAGCATGTAGATGCTGAATGTCAGTACTGCACATTTTGCAACACTGACACAGGAAGCGCCTAGGTGTTCCTAGGAAGCGATGTAAACACTGCATTTTCTCTGAAAAGGCAGTCTTTACAGCAAAAACCCTGCAGTAGTATACTATACTCACCAGAACAACTACATTAAGCTATATAATAAACATTAAGCTGTTACTATACATTAAGCTGTATAATATAAATTAAGCTGTAGTTGTTCTGGTAACTATAGTGTCCCTTTATGTTTGTGCGTGCAAAGGGGTAGGGACTGCAGAGGGTGCCGAAAGGAAGAGGCTGTAAAGGGTGCGAGTGGAAGGGGCTGCAGGGGAGGGACTGTAGAGGATACGGGGGAATAGGGTGGATTAGAGGCTGTAGTAGGTGCAGAGGAGGGACAGACTGTAGTGGGTGCAAAGGGTAATAGGAGATGCAGTGGGAGCAGTTGGGTAGCCCACTAGCCACTACCAAAAGCGAAACCCTACTATTGCGCACAGTGCAGGGGGTAGGAGCTGCAGTGGGAGCAGCAGGTAAAAGCTGCAGTGGGAGCAGAGGGGTACGGGATGCAGTGGGAGCAGGGAGGTAGGGGATGCAGTGGGAGCAGGGAGGTGGGGGATGCAGTGGGAGCAGGGAGGTAGGGGATGCAGTGGGAGCAGGGGGTAGGGGATGCAGTGGGAGCAGGGGGGTAGGGCATGCACTGGGAGCAGTGGATGCAGTGGGGAGCTGCCGGGCAGGGGGGATGCACTGGGGAGCAGGGGGGTAGGGGGACGCACCGGGAGCAGGAGCAGGGGGGTAGGGCACGCACTGGAGCAGGGGCAGGGGATGCCGTGGGGGTATGGGACACCCCAGAGGGGTAGGGATGCAGTGGAGCAGGGGATGAAAGTAGCAGGGGCCTTATGGTTATGAGGGTAGGGATGCAGTGGGAGGGGGGTAGGGGATGCAGGGGGAGTAGGGCCTTGTAATCTGGGAGCAGGGGTAGGGATGCAGTGGAGGGGGGTGTAGGGATGCAGGGGGAGGGTAGGGGATGCAGGAGCAAGGGGGGGTAGGGGGACATTGGGATGGGGAAAGGGAGCTGGATGCACTGGGAGCAGGAGACGGTGAGGAGCAGGGGGCAGGGGACGGGTATAGGGGGATGCAGGAGGAGGGGGGTAGGGGGATGGCAGGGTGGTAGGCACGCGTGACCGGGGAGGGGAGGGACGGCGGGGAGCAGGGGATGAAAAGTGGGGGCAGGGGACGCAGTGGAGCAGGAGGGTAGGGATGCAGGAGAGGGGTAGGGACGAGGGGGGCAGGACATTTGTGCACTGGGAGCAGGGGTAGGGGACGCAGTGAGCAAGGGGGTAGGGGGATGCAGTAGGGATGCAGTGGAGCAGGGGGGTGAGAGGCACCGGGGCAGGGATGCCTGGCGGGAGCAAGGGGGCAGGGGATGCAGGAGTGGCAAGGCGGGCCCCTGATGGGGCAGTAGTGGGGGAAATTATATAATAAAACATTTTAATAAAAAAAAAATAAAGCCCCCCTCCCAAATCTTAACTCTCTGGTGGTCCTCTTCTGAAGGAGGGCACACAATGCTGACATGCTGCCTGTTAGTCTGCTCAGGGCAGCTCCTCACTCTGCACTGTGACTGCTGATGTCACTTCCTGCAGCACAAGCCGCATGGAGCTGCCCTGAGCAGTGTTACGGGCAGCTCAGTGAGGCTGTTTGGAGACAGGCACACTGAGGGCAGCCTAGCGGGGTCTTTTGGCAGGCCCTATAGCTGTCCCTCAGTGTGACCTGCACGGGGGATTATATTTTTAGCAGCAGGGGCCCGCGGAAGGCTGTGCGGGCCCCTTACTGAGTGCAGGCTGGCTGGGGAGATTGTTTAACTCCCAAGCTCAGCCATTACTGCACTGCAGCAGGGGCGGGCCCCCCAGAGCCTCGGGCCCTCGGTCCATGACCGATTTGCCCGAGTGCTCAGTCCGCCCCTGCTTAAACTCCTTTACTGTGTTAACCTCTACCACTTCACCTGGGATGCTATTCCATGCATCCACTACCCTCTCAGTAAAGTAATACTTCCTGATATTATTTTTAAACCTTTGTCCCTCTAATTTAAGACTGTCCTCTTGTTGTGGTAGTTTTTCTTCTTTTAAATGTAGTCTGCTCCTTTACTGTGTTGATTCCCTTTATATATTTAAATGTTTCTATCATATCCCCCCTGTCTTGTCTTTCCTCCAAGCTATACATGTTAAGATCCTTTAACCTTTCCTGGTAAGTTTTATCCCGCAATCCATGAACCAGTTTAGTAGCCCTTCTCTGAACCCTCTCTAAGGTATCAATATCCTTCTGAAGATACGGTCTCCAGTACTGTGTACAATACCCCAAGTGAGGTCTCACCAGTGTTCTGTATAATGGCATGAGCACTTCCCTCTTTCTACTGCTAATACCTCTCCCTATACAACCAAGCATTCTGCTAGCATTTCCTGCTGCTCTATTACATTGTCTGCCTACCTTTAAGTCATCAGAAATAATCACCCCTTAATCCCTTTCCTCATATGTTGAGATTAGGACTCTATCAAATATTCTGTACTCTGCCCTTGGGTTTTTACGTCCAAGATGCATTATCTTGCACTTATCCACATTAAATGTCAGTTGCCACAATTCTGACCATTTTTCTAGTATACCTAAATCATTTGCCATTTGGCTTATCATTCCTGGAACATCAACCCTGTTACATATTTTAGTATCATCAGCAAAAAGACATGCCTTACCATCAAGACCTTCTGCAATATCACTAATAAAAATATTAAAGAGAATGGGTCCAAGTACAGATCCCTGAGATACCCCACTGGTACAAGTCCAAGCTTCGAATATATTCCATTAACTACAACCCTCTGTTGCCTGTCACTCAGCCACTGCCTTACCCATTCAACAATATTGGAATCCAAACTTAAAGATTGCAGTTTATTGATAAGCCTTCTATGTGCAACAGTGTCAAAAGCCTTACTGAAATCTAGGTAAGCAATGTCTACTGCACCACCCTGATCTATAATTTTAGTTACCCAATCAAAAAAATCAATAAGATTAGTTTGGCATGATCTCCCTGAAGTAAACCCATGTTGTCTCTGATCTTGAAATCCATGTGTTTTTAGATGCTCAACAATCCTATCCTTTAACATGGTTTCCATCATAGTAGTTTTATATGTTTGCTAACTGAGTACAATCATTACATTGGGGAACTAAGATAATGTTATACATAATTTTAAGGGTTATACCCTGGGTGGAATTGGTACCACGAGAGGCATAACTACAAACCACAGAGCCCCCGGTGCGAAAATTGCCTGGGGCCCCCACAACATACGTCTACCCCCCACCACCCCACCATACGTCTACACTCCCCCTCCTATACGTTGCCCACACACACATATACAGAGATACACACACAGACACACAGACATACACACAGACACACATACATACACACACAGACACATACAGACACACATACATACATACAAACAAACAAACACACACATATACAAAATATTTTAGTCACCCTCCTGTTTCCTACATGTTAGATACAGGAGGGTGATTGCTCTGGAGTCCAGTGGTTGCTCAGCCTGCTGGGAGTTCCCACTCTGACTCCCTCCTCTCTTCCTCCCGCGCGGCTCCCATTGTAAGCTGGGAGGAGTGATGGAGCAGTCACTTCCTTCCAGCTGTGATCGCGCTTTTAAAGCACTTCAGCGCTGACTGGGCCCCCTGGAAATCCACAGCCACCGCCAGTTATACCGTGAGGGCCAGGGTTGCAACACATGGCTGCGGGCACCCGGTCGCAGGGGTCCGCGGGGCAGCCGGGAGCCCTGGAGTGATGGGCCTGGTCACAGCTGCGACCCCTGCGATCGCGGTAGTTCTGCCACTGGGTACCACCCACACTGACCGACCCTTGTTTGGAATACTTTCCGTGCAAGGGTCAATCTATTAACCTTTTTCATGCTAGTGACTCCACTTGTATTAGGCTGACAGATGGCTGACTGGGGACAATTAGATGTGGATACCAAGGAATAAAATGGGGATGGTAGGACTGGATCCCAAAACCAGGATGGTATCACTGAAATTGGAAAGGCTGTATGCATACATCTGTATATAGAAAACACATTTCATAAATGTCCCTTTTTGTGATTTTTACCTGAGGTATAGAGTGAAGACTGAGAATGCGAGAAATTGCAATAGAAATTTCTGAATTGATTTCTCCAACGACTGCTTTCACAGTAGGCATTATTTCGGAGCTGCATTTTGGAGGGTTGTACAGTAAGTTCAATTCTGGAAATAGTTTTATTGTTGACTGAATGGCTTTGGAGACATCAGAGCACGAGTCATAGATTGCATAACCCAATTTAATCCCAGGCAAGAGAGTGGAATTATTAATCTCTTCAATAGAATACATCATAGCAAAGGCATTAACAACCATGTCTTTGTTTAAGCTGGAAAAGATATATAGAAAGAAAAAAAAAGCAAAAAAAATAAAAAGCTTGAGTTACAGAGAATGTCCTTGAAGTGTATGGTGCGTATTCATCAGCTAACAGAATATATAACAACATATATGACAACGTTATATTGTCTGAATATACCCAACACTACATTCATAAATTAGGTAAATAATAACTTTTTACCTAATTACCTAGAAAGAAACTTAATAATGAGAGCACACAAGAAAGCTTGTGATGAGTTAATGAAGAGACCTTTATTCCACCCATGTGCCCAGATTTCATTTTTAACCCAATTGCAAGATAAATAAATAAACGTTTTTTTAGCACTACAAACCATAAATTAACTTACTGGTAGGCTTAAATATAAATTAACAATAATGCATAATTACCACACTGAAGAGCACAGCAACGCACATTATCCCCACGGTTTAGTCATAGATCCTAATCAAAGATGCAACTGTTTAAAAACCAAACAGCAAGCAGAGGATTGGCTTGAATAAACATTAATCTGCCCATTAATTAAAAGGATCCAAAGAAAAAAAATAGAAAAATATGTTTAAAGAAACAGTATACGAGAAATTTAAATATGATTGACATTAAGCAATAGAAAAATGGAAATAATATAACTGTCTTTCTTGATTTCATTCACTTAAATGTAATTATTAAAAAGTATTCACAAAAATGACCAAAAAATAAATATTGAAAAAACTATAACAGCAAATAAAATAAGAGAAAAAATACAAAAAGGTCTAAAGAAAGCAAAACGGGGATTTCTTGGACATGAAGCACAGTTTCACACCACTACAGGCCACAGCAACTAAAAACAAGTAATGCTGATAACGCTCTGATACAATGCCACCTAATGCCACCTAACAAACATAAATCTCATAATGGAGCTAGAACACCAGCTCATTCAAAGTATGACCAGGCTAAAAGCTCTCAAAATGGTGTCTATACATATTCTAACTCACTTGTTTCTGACACGCTATCCTATGCCATGTTCAAATGGTTTTTACAAAATAACTGCATGAGATGGTTTTAAAGCTGCTGGGATGAATATGATAATTGAAGCTCTAAAAAAAGAAAATGGTATTTAAAGCACTTAAATCAGATAAATCATAAAATATAAGGAAGCCAATGCAGCCTATAAAAATATGATTTGGTGGATTAAATTAGAAAATGAAAAAGTGATAGTAGTGGAAATGCACACATATAAATCAATTATGGCTCCAGGTTTCTCACTTAGTGTCTAAAGTACTATACACAACCATAACTATGGACCCATGAATATGTCTTCATTCCAAACCACAGAAAGAAACCCCCAGAGCAGAAATCAAACTTATAGATCGCAAGATCGCACTAGCTGCAAGGCGTGTGGTGATGGAGAAATGGGGAAGCCCGGACATCCCTTCCAAAGAGACAATCAAGAGAAAAGTGGAAGATGCCATGAAAATGGACAAAGTCTCTGCTCTAATCCACGACACCAAAAATCACTTTAACAAAATCTGGGATCCTTGGATCTTTGTATTTCCACTATCCTCCTAAGGGGACTTGACCTCTGTGACTCATGGGGACACCCATTGCCCCTTCTATGGGGACAACAACGTCTCCCTACCAACAATTCTGATTGCACTCTTCTACTCTTCACGGACACTCCTTCTATTCTTACTTCCCAATCTTTCTCCTACGATCATACATCCTTGTTTTTTTTTTACTCTTTTTGTTTCTCCCAATATATTTTCTCTTCTCTCCCCTCTTCTCCCCCTCCCCCTCTTTAACCCCCTGGGAGACAAGAGCACAAGGTGTTTAATCATCAAGGCAATCCATGATATTAGCACATCAGCTGACCCTGGTTGCACG